CCCCAAAACCCCAAAACCCCAAAACCCCATGAATAAGAACTTGAATATGAAATTTTAAACTTAATATATTAGCAATTGAAAGTGCGAGGATGAAATCAAAATTCCCAAACAGCATTAAAAGACACCTTTCCGTATAGTTCTAAGCCACTGAGAGTCAAGTTATCACTGCCACTGCTATTTTTGCCTACTTGAACTATTCTGAAGTACCTAAAGCCTTATGACCCCACATCATTGTAAATAGTCTGATCGATTCCCCAAGTACTAGTGGCTCCTTTTCTCTATAGATTCTTCTGTTCTTGTTCCATTTCTTGATTATAATTGGTGTTATCAGACAAGTATATTCTTCTATCAAGAACGACCCAGTTCACTTTATCATTTGATGCCTCGAAATGCCAGTTCATAAGTACATGAGTCGATGAGTTCCTATTTCTCAAGCTGTAGCATGTAGGGATCAAATGCCTGCCCTCACCAAGATCAATTCCAAAGAAAGAGAATGGCTCATTCAAAGTCCTGCAGTTAACAACCTGTCTGCCAGCAATGTCCTCAACTCTACCACCACCAATCGACGAAGTGAAGCAGTGAATTAGTCCAAGGGCATGTGGATTTTACCAAGGTCTCTTCAATCCATATGTTCCAAGGTAGAAGAGAGCTCCATTCTCATCAAAATCATGATCGTATATAAACTCAATCAAGCTAAGATTAGTGTTCTAGCCTCCCCCGGGGAGTCTTTCAGATAGTTAAGTTCCATACAGAGGATTATTTTGTTTGCTCATGTGTGCTTGATAAGGTGAATTATTTTGCTTTCTGGGGGAGAGTGTAGTTTAAGCATGAATGTTAAACATCTCTTTTTGAGGAGCCTTAGGCATAAAGTTTTGCAATGACTACCCTGGCTACATAGTTGAAGACATTTAGTTACTCATAACTCCCATCTAACTTGGATATTAGCCCAGGGATGAAGAGGATTTCATAGGTGACTGACTTCTGAGAAATTTATCTTCCATAATTGGCATTGTCGGATTCCTCATGCTCTAGATCTGCTATTACTGTCTCTAGAAATGTGGGTCAAGAACTTAAGGCCCATTTTTAGTAATCTAAAAGTTGCTTTGCATCAGAGGACCTCCTAAGTTTTGAGCATCCTAATCAAGTTTTTAGTGTTAAATTTTGGCTTGATTTTGGAAATGATCAAATTTATTGCTCATTACATTACTTTGCATCACACCTTAATTATTACTGATAAACGGTGGTTACTACTATGATTGCCTTAGATTTAAAGGCATTTGCTAAGTCTACTGAAATCCAATTCCTTAGTTGAATTATTATGACTATCTTGGATCAATCATCTAACTAGGATATTGCTATTGCTGAAGCATTTAGTTTGGTTGATTTTAAAACTATTAATTAGGAAATGCTTGAGTTCTCATAGGCCCTCCAATCTACTATTATGTAGCAGCCTACTGCTGTAATAGCCTTTATTGCATTGCCACCTTATTAGCTGAAAACTGCTGTTGGTTTTTCTCATTTTATATCTATTGCTAGTGCTGCTATTATCTATTCCTAGCAAAGTTGTCTACTAGTTTCATCTCCATTTCTGCACCATAGTTTTTTCTTGGTTTCAAATTAATAGTGAATTCTCTGTATTTCTAGTTCTCCTCATATGGATTCAGTCTGTAACTCAAACCCTGCATAATATAATCCTTAGCCTCTGCAAAGTTAGGATTCAGAGAAGTCTCAATAAGTTCTTCATGCTTCAAGAAGGAGTAATGAATGGCCTTGAATAATATTTCTTTTTGCTCTTTCCTTAGCTTCCTCACTATAAGTTTATCAAGAATCTCTTTAATCTTATTTTCTTATTTCTCATCACTAAGAAATTGAACTTTACCAAGTTCATCTAGTGCGCTAAACTTACTATCTCTAGCTTTCTATTCCTCTTCATCTTTGGTCTTCTTTTCCTCTGCTGCCTTCTGCTTCTATTCTTCTCTATGCTTTTTCTCCTCATCATTTAGTTAACTCCAATCTTCCTCATCATCTGGAGAAGGGGGTAAAGCTCTTCTATGGTTCAAATATCTATCTATTGCTCTTACAACCTATATCTCCTCAGTCACATTAAGTTCTGGGTCCTCAATAAGATCTAAGAACATTTAGAAAGGTAAGTCATTTAAAAACTCAGTCCCATTCTTAGTCTCTGCAATAGCTTCAAATTAATTTACGAGCATTTCCCTAGATTTTTATAGCAGGAAATTACTATCAAACTAGCAAATACATTATTAAACAATACTAATTACTCTGATAGCTTCTAGGTAAAATTAGCAGCATGTCTCTGGATTAAGGAAGTTGTTTACAATACATCTCTCAAGATCTCCCTTAAGTTAGGTGACTTTCAAAGAGTAAGCCAACGAGTAAATATTTGAAACGTTGTTTTCATCTACATCTTGCTTAATCTTCTCAAAATCCTATATTTATCCATAAAACGCAGCTATTCCATACCTAATTAGAATAGACATACTCCATAACTCTGGGGAAAGGATCGTCAATAAAATTTGATTTAGTTGATATGTGCTTTGGGATGCTGAACTATTGATATAAGGTCAGATGAAAAATATTTCATTACTTTAATTACTAGCTTAGGATCACAATCCTGCAATACTTAATCAAATAGATCAGAGGCAGCAGCTAGCACTACTTTATGGCATCTATAATTCGAATAAATAAATTATTAGCATACTTGTAAGTAGTATCAGTTGCTGGATTGACGACATCAATATCTGATAGTGGGGCTGTGTTAAAGAAAGAATGAAGATTTCTTTGCATTTTTATTTTATTTAATTCAAATTTTAATTAAATTTTATTACCTGTCTTTCCAAATTCAACTCTATTGGGGTTTTGGGGTTTTGGGG